TTAAAGTCCTACCATTTAATACCTTCATTTTTGTACCCTTATTGACCAAAGCTGTAGAAGTTCTTGGGTCTCTTTGCCAGGGGGATGACGAGAGAGAAGTCCCACCTACCTATGTCACTGGTATCTCTTATTAAATTTGCCTTCCCATAGGAACACTGATGAATATTGAAATATTGTTACAGTTAATAATGGATGATTGGGACCAGCAGATTGTGTAATGGTTACATCACTGGACTCCCACGTAATCGACCATGGCTTGAGTCCTAGACCAGGCAGCTTAAAAACTCAGGCTGGGCGCATGTGCATGTGTGCCTAAGATCCTGAGAGGAGAATGAAGGAGCAGGGATTGTGGCCTGGATATCCTCCTGGGGGGGGGGGATGATTTCTCACTTTCTATCTCTTTGTCTCTCTCTGTCTCTCCAGTGAGCACGTATGCCCTATAACAAAGATCTCTCTCTTAAAAAATAAAAGGATAATTTGTGTTTCTTCAGGTTAGCTGAAAAACAAGCTAGTCTTTATTGCTCTACTTTAATAAAAGATGTATTATAAGGTCTACAAAACAAATTTATATGGTTCTTTTGGGGTGAAACATATTGCTGGTACTGACTCTATTAGGTGAGCAGTAAGGCCCCACCTTGCACTGACTGTGGACTTTGGGCAACTCATATCACTGCCTTAAAAATCCCTTTCTTCTCGGAATAGGAATAAAAGTCCTAAATAGGAGTAAAAACACTAGAAAAGCACAATACAAGGATGTTTCTGCAGTATTATGAACCCTCTCTTTTTTTTTGGTTTTAGTTTTTGACATAGGGTATGTGTATCTCTTCTCCATTCTTTCTCAGGATTTTTAGGCATGCCTGCATATGCTCTCAGCATGATTTTCAAGTCGCTAGGTTTGAAGCTCAAACTGTGGCTGGCCATGTGGGAATCCAGTGCCTTAATCACCATACCACCACTGGCCCCAAAGCCTACCTGTTATAAGCCTATGGCCAACACTAAACTCAGTGATGATTCCCAAATAGCTTTGATATTTTTGAACCAGTTAAAAGACAAAGATACCTATGTTCACTATTACTCTTAGACATATTCTGGAAATTCTGGTTATTATAGAATAAGGCATGCCTGCCTCCCTCTTCCCAAAATATGGGAGAGAGAATTGTGGGAAAAGAGTATACTAAGAATAACTGGAGTGAAAAGTGAGTTACATCAAAAACAAACAGGTGGGAATAGCCAAGAAAATATTTTGAAAAAAAAAAAAAAGAAGTTGGAGATATTCCTTCTGCTAAATATTCTATGTTCTGTGAGCACTAGAACAGGCAGATGGCTGGGAGGAAGAGTAATAAAGGGCCCTGATCCGGTGTGTAGTTGTTGGCGTTTTGAGCACAAAGGCTGTGTCAGACCCTGAAGTTAGTGCTTTCTGGACATCATCTGGTTTTGTCCTTAAAATGAGGCTATAAGATGGGCATTGGTAAGGTAGTTTCCCAGGTGTCAAACTTGACATTAGTGCTCAGAGGTCAAAGCAAATTTTGCACAGATGAATCACAAAGGAATGGGTGATTTCACCAGTGGTGCTGGGCAAAGGCAAAGAGAAGGTGTGGAGGTGTGGTTGGAAACCTAACATTGGGACCAGCAGATGGCCTAATGGATACGTCGCTGGACTCCACAGTAGTCCAGTGCGGTTGGAGTCCCAAATTCAGCAACTTAAAACTCATGCTGAATGCATGTGTATCCATGCCCAAAATCCCAAGAGGAGAATGGAGGAGAAGGGATGCCAGCATGGCTATCCGCTGAGGGGGTGGTTTCTTGCTTTCTGTCTCTTGGTCTCTCTCTGTCTCTCCGGCGAACACATATGCCCTACAACAAAGATACCACTCAAAAAACACCAAACAAACAAACAAAAATCACATTAAGTACTTAATTCACACCATACCTATGATAAATTCCAGTGAGTTTAAATAAAAACAAAGGCGCCAATGGCCAAAGGTGGTGAGGATTAGGGGCAAATAAAGAAAGTATGTAAGTAGCTATTTAATTAATATTGGACTGAGGAATAACTTTGTAAGCATAGAAGCCATAGAAAACACTAGACAATAAATGGTTGATACATTGGATTACATAAAATTTAAACTTCTCTGCATCAAAAGCCATTATAAACCAAACCTAAATGCAAATAACAGACTGGGAAGGTGAATGAAAGTAATTATATTAATATATAATTTTGATACACAAATGATTAATATCCTTATTATATAAAGAGCTCTTACAGATCAGTAAGAAAACCACAAATCTTCTAAGTAAAAATGGCCCAAGGCTATACACAGGAGAATTACCATAAGTTTTATAAATTGCTCAGCTGTAATAAGAAAAGAAGAAGATTGGACTGAAAATTACATTCCATTTTCAGTATGAGATAAACAATATTGCATAAAAATGCTAAGATGCAGTTGTGAATATTTAAAGAGGGCATTGCTAATTGCCCTTTTGATGGGCCCTGTGGTAGGCAAATGATAGGAAAGTGCCATGAAAGAAATCTATGCCTTTTCTTCAGAAATTCCGTTTTCGGGGGTCAGCAGGTAGCGTTGGTGGTTAGGATGCCAGACTCCCACATTGCCAGTTGTGGTTTGAGTCCTGGACCTGATGGCTTGCTTTCTCACTTTCCCTCTGTCTCCCTCTGTCTCTCTCTCTCATGAGTACATGTGCCATAAAGCAAATTAAAAAATAGTAATAATAATAAATAAAATTATATAAATAGTTATTAAAAATTAGGAAAAAATCACTTTTGGTGAATTTCATTAAGGAAATTAGCAGATTAAAAAGAGCAAATGTGGGGCCACAGGTGGCGTAGTGATTGAGGTGCTAGACTTCCATGTGGCCCACCAGAGTTTGAGTCCTGGACCTGGCAGTTTGAAACTCACATACGGTCACGCCCAAAATCCCGAGAGGAGAATGGATAAGAAGGGATTGTGGCATGGCCATCCTCCCTGGGAGGTGATTTCTCGCTTTCTGTCTGTCTCTTTTTGTCACTCTGGTGAGCACACGCACCTTAGAGGAGAAATCTCTCTAAAAAATAATTGAGATTTTTATAAATGTTAGATGTACTAGAGAAAAACTTAAACAACAAATATGAGATAGTCTTTGGGCAAATTTTGATGTGGAACTATAAAGGTTAGAATGGAACTCTTAAGATCATGTTTTCAAAAATTGTTATCTGAAAAAATGATTCTGTATTAAGGACAAAAAGCATATATTGTATAATCTAGACCATGTTTAGAACACTAAATGTGGGGACCAGCAGATGGTGTAATGGTTACGTCACTGGACTACCACATGGCTAACTATGGTTCAACTCCCAAACCCAGCGGCTTGAAACTCAACATGAGGCGCATGTGCATGCATGCTCAAAATCTTGAGAGGAGAAAGGAGGAGAAGGGATTGTGGTGTGGCTGTCCCTCCAAAAGGGTGATTTCTTGCTTTCTATCTCTTTGTCCCTCTGTCCCTCTGATGAGTGCAAATGCCCTATAGCAAAAAACTCTCAAAAAAAGGAAAAACAACACTGTATGTAACTGCTAAAGGGGAGCAATATGAAACATTACCTTCTATTTAAGTAGGCAGACTATGATTGGCCTTTATTTTCTATGTTTTGTACATTTTTACAATGAATGCACATAGCTTTTGTGATTGTAAGATATTGTTATATTTACCATTTTAGAACTTGTAGAGATTAAAAAAGAAAATGTGGCTGATACCAAGAATAAAGTTAAGGTGTTAGAAATGTTAATGTCTTTCTATTTTCTATTATTAGAACCTCAACTAGCAACTTGAAATTTCATATTTAATTCTTTATGACCTAATAGTGTTTTTGTTTATTTGTTTTGTTTTGAGAGAGATATTTTTTGGTATAGGATATGTGCATTCACTGGAAAGACAGAGAGAAAGTGAGAAACCACTCCCTAAGGGAGATGGCCATGTTGCAATCCCTTCTTCTCTATTCTCCTTTTGGAATCTGGGCACTCACGCATCGTGCCCAGTGTGAGTTTTAAGCTGCTGGGTCTGGGACTTGAACCATGGTCGACTATGTGAGAGTCCAGCAATGTAACCATCCACTGGTCCCAATAGTGGATTTTTCTTAAAGCTGACAAGATGAAATAATTTTTATAGCGTCAATACATATAACTTTTGATAGTCAAATTAAGTACATGTAAGAATAGTCAGAGCTAACTACAAAGTAGAACATTCCTATCTTTACATTCTCCATATTTAAACTTTGATACCAGTTGGACTAATTTGCATCTTGCACATTTTACTATGTCTTAATGGAAAATGAGCTTAATGCACTTTTTTCTTGATGGAATAAAGTTAGCACATTTTCTGTTTTGTAAAAGCAGAAAGTCAGCATTAATGTTCATCTTGGATTGCCTGTTCTCAGAGAGGGTCCTTGGTTTTCTATTTTGAGATTGTAATAATATTATAGGAACCATATCATCTCTTGCATAATAAGGCTCATTGGCTTTTACATGTCTTCCTACTCATGCCCTTGGTAAATAAAATTTCAGGTAATAAACTTTGACAGAAAATGGATTTCTCATATAACTGAAAGAAAGTGATAGAGAAGATGTTTTGCTGTGCTATCCTTTCCATACAGAGGAAAAATATGTTTTTGCCTTGTCTTTATTATAATAAAGTTACCATTGCATCTCATGGACAGATTTATTTCAAGTTCAGAATCATACTCTTTTGTGTATTTGGCACAACTTCATCTTAAAAAAAGTCTATTTAGACTATCGATATCATTGATTTGGAATGCATACTTTACTTTGCACTTATCTAAGCATTTCCTACAGACACATTCTTCTATTATGATACATTGTATTTTTTCTCTTTTACTTCATGTCACATTTTAAGACACTTTCTATGTTTAATAACAGTGTGTTTACAAACTGCTATCCTGGTAAATATATAATTTTTTTTTAACCTTTGCTAAATGTTTCTTTGCTTTTCAGGATGACTTTGGATCCTGTAATTCACGAAGCTCTCGAAAGGTAATGGAAATTAACACTGAACTCAATGAATATATTTTCTGTTTTCTACAAGTTTTCCTTCTTTGTTATAATTGTAAAAATATTCTCAACTGAATTATTTACATGATATGGTACTTTGAAACCTTTGTATTATTATTATTAGAGAGCAATTCGAAGGCCTTGATGGTACTGTCTAGCAGGGTCACCTGGTCGCCCTGACATGTACTTAACTTAGTATAAAACTTTGGGTTTTTTTTTTTTGTTGTTGTTGTGTTGCACATCTGGTCCCCAGCTGTGCAATTGGAAGCTTGATTTTATGATACAAAGTAATCAAGTCCCCTGGAGACTGATACTTCCTTGCTTCCTCCACTGATAATGCCACAAACACCAAATGTTTGGTTTAGCTCCTTAGTTCCTTCTCTTGTGTTTGAAAAGTCTACATGGGAGTCCACATGTGATTGGATATTACTTCTAGATCTGGAATTAGACCAAGGACAGTGTTTGATGATTTTATTAGTGCGAGAACTTCACCTGTGATAACCTGACATGTGCCTCTCAGTGTCGGGTATTCTGCTTAGTGGCCCTGCAGGCTACCTTTTCCCTGTATAGTGATGGGCGGATGCTACAAGTGTCTTCTCTCGGCCTCCCATCTTCCTGGGGCCCTCACCATTCTTCTTTCCATATCCTCGCCATATTTGCTGTCTTTCTGTTTTAGTATGGCAGGGAGCTTTGATATTCTTTTCTAAAAACGTTTGACAGATAGTGCATGCCCTTGCCACAGAGAGACAGAGGGAGAGAGGAAAGAGGAGAAAGCTCCCTGTGGGGGATGGTCTCACCACAGGCTCTTTTCCTCCAGCTCTCCCTCCTTTTAGGATTTTAGACACACATGCATATGCACCTGGCATGTTTCTCAAGCTGCAGAGTCTGGGACTCAGACCGCACATTTGGCCATCTGAGATCCAGCTCCCTTAACCACGAGGCCACAGGCCTGCCAGATATTTCAAGCAACAGGATATGGTAAGGATTAGGACAGGCTGCATCCACATGTCAGCTCTACTTGGTTCATTTTCTTCTTATGACAATAGACTAATGACAGTATCTGCCTCATAGGTTTGTTGTGACAGTTCATTGAGACAAAGCATTTAACTCAGTGCCACAGTAAGGCCTCAGTAAATAGCAAATAATAGAGTATGTATTGTTATGGTTGGCGTTTTTCCTGAGATGACTTTTACATTCATATGTATGTGTTTTATTCGGTTGAAGAATGTGAAATTGCTATTTGGTAGGTTAAATTTAGTGAACACCACCAGTTATTGCCTGTATATAAATCCAATATTAATTAATTTATAATCCTATTTCCTCTCTCAGGACCTTTTGCTATTTTACTTCCATAAAATACTGAGCATTGAGTAATGCTCTGAAATATAGGTACACTTGATTGGTCTTCCTAAGACGGATGTTATTTTTATTGTCCCTGTTCAGTGAAATGGCAGATTAATACTGATTTTTTTAATGAACGACTCATAAGAATGATAATGCAGCCCATTTGGGAGTTCACGTTGCTCATTGTGTCACAGGCAGAGTTCAGCTCAGCAGGATGTTGTAATGTCACTAGGCCATAGTAGTTGTGACACTGAGAGTGATCACAGTGATAAAGTGAAATCAGATACAGTCGGGTTGGCACACAATTTCGTTTTGCACATGGATCACATGGTTCTACCTTTTAAGTACTTTTGTGATTTTAGTGCATTTTCTTTCTCAATAATTTTAAGGGTCAAGAGTATAGTATCTTCATCTTTTAAAAATGAAAACATTGAATCAGACATCACATAATTAGATCAGCCATGCAGATCTGTTGAGTTGTTGGGAAAATCATGATGCATTTCTGCATAGAAAAATATGTTATGACTTTCCTGACAACCTAGTAGTTGGTGGTTATCCAGAGACTGAACAAAGATCTTCATAACCTCAAAGCTAAGATGGGATCTTGGTGCTGGCCCTGAGTTATGTGCTGTGCAGAGAAAGCCGGATCTAACATGGTTGACCAGGGTGTGAATCTGGCCTTGGTGGCTTAAAAACCATGCTGTGCACGTACATGTATGTGTCTGCCATTTCCTGATCGAATGGAGAATTGGAGGTAAAAAGGATTGTAGTTTGACCAGACCATGTCAGGGGGTATTTCCCTCCTTTGTCTCTCTCATGCACACATATGTGCCTGCCGGCATTAAAAAAAAAAAAAAAAAAAAAAAAGATGCCCGTTGGCATTTAAAAAAAAAGATGGGTTTGTCATAACAAATCTATGAGGCAAACCTCTCCCTTTATATAATTGGATAAATAAAAATCATAAGTTATTTGAAGTAATAATGACAGCAATAAGTATCTCCCAGTTTCCTGCATCCCTACAGTATTCCCACAATTCTGTGGTTGCCACAAGTATTCATCATGTTTTAAAAATTTGAATCCAGTGTGTTTAATAACTGGTATAATTTTTAGAATGCATGGGGTATGAATTTCACCACTACCCTTGACAAGGAGCACAAATATGGGCTGTCTTACCTCAAGATGGCAATATTTTAGTTTGTCTTGAACCTTCCATCGAAGCAACTATTGAGGTATGAACTTAGGACTTTCTTGTTCTGTTCTCCTTGCATGTTTGTGAATAGTCCAGCCTCATCTCCCATCCTTCAGCCATTTAAACAGCCGAACCGAGCATGTGGTTACGCTGCCTTCCGTAGTAACCCTTTACGTTACATGAGGTTCACTGAAGTACCGACCTGGTACCTGTAATGTCAGAAGACACAAAACAGTCACTGGGAGCATCAGGCTGCATTGATTTCTTTAGATGCTCCAATACCACCATCAATTCAGTTAGGTGAGTGATTAAAACTGGAGAGGAGGAGCAGGTGGTGTGGTGGTTAAGAAGCTGGATTCACACATGGCTGACCACAGTTCAAGTCTCAGACCCAGCAGCTTGAAAATCTTGCCAGGTGCCTATGTGTGCATGCCCAAACTTCCAAGGCGAGAATGGAGGAGAAGAGATTGTGGTGTGGTCATCCACCCTGGGGGATGATTTCTCACTTTCCCTCTCACTATCTCTCTCTCTTTCTGTCTCCAGTGGGCACATGTGCCCTATGACAAAATCTAATTTAAAAAAAACAAAACAAAACACTAGGGGCTGGAAAGTGGCACAGTGGTCATAGAACAACTGTGAGGATGCCCTTCATGCAAAGTTTATAGTTTGCATCTGGAGTCCGTTTTGAGTATACCAGGCGTGTGCGTACCCAGGGTCTGAGGCTGGCTGAGCGCAGAGGTGGACTGTGTCCTGTTGGGGATGCTGTCTCTCTGCCTTTCTCTTTATTTCTCTATCTCTCTTGCTCATGGGAGAAATAAGTACATAGACTTAAAAACATTTACAAAACCAAAATTGACTTGGGGCACTAAAAAGCCTGGAAACTGATAACTTTAATTCCTAACTGGGAGGGTTTCTTCTGCCTTACACGTTTGGGGTTGTGAGAGAATCTTGTCTGGCCTCTAGGCAGTCTGGTTAGAAACTCAACTCTTTTCATGCTTTGGAACCCTGACTAGCCTGTCAGCTGCCTCAGTTTGCCTTTTTTCTCCCTTGTGGGAGCTCTGCTCTAAAGAGGGAACCACTGCTTAGCACTGACCCTGGCTCCTCCGGTTTCTGCCACTTAATGATCCAATTCACTTTGCTAGCAAAGTGCTCTCTGGGGCCCCAGGAGGCAAGGCAGAGACCTTTGTCAGAATCTCTGCTATCGAGTCTCCTCACCCAGCTAAAATATTAAAGTCCTCCAGGGATTAGCGAGGAAGGAGATGGGAATTCATAGTGTCCAAATTGAAGAGGTAGCCTAGATGAATTCTGAGTTTAATGGAATAAGAACGTCAATACAAACGAAAGAAAAACCTTCTATTCGGTGTAATATTTAAGTCTTCTTTCTCCTCCACCCAAACTCTGCTTTTCTTATGTGTTTCTATGGAATGTGAATCAAACGATGACTATTAAGAAATCGAGGTCACTTTTAAAATCTTCTCTGCCAGAGCCTTGCCTAGGCAAGCCTGTGATTTAAATGTCTGTAAATGTGACTTGACATCTATGGATTGGTATGTCAGAACATTCGATTGATTTAATAGAGAGGATTGAGGAAAGCGTGAGCCTTTCTGATCAAATTCTTTTGTCTTTGAACTGTGGAATATGAGTAATCAGGAACAATGCTGCATCGTGTCAGGCCAAGTCTGAATCCCGATGACACAATTCTAAGAACTGTCAGAATTGACTCATGCCTAACTTCAGGGTATGGGTTACAATGAAGCTGACTACAAAAAAAAAAAGAAAAGAAAAAGAAAAAGAAAAAGAAAAAAATGCGTGGGCAATTTCTATTGCTTGCAAAAGTTTGTTTTCATTCTACATTCAGAACAAATCAGAGCTACGGGGGTGCTGGTGCAAGGCTGCCCTAAGGGTCTTGATGTGGAGAGACTGACTGCTTCCTAGAAGATTCAGAAGTGTCTGAGTTCTGAGGTTCAGGGTGTTCTGGCTGCCTCTTGTCATTTCGGCAGATCAATGGCTCAGGTGTGACTTTCTTTCTCTTCTGATTCAAGTGGGCCCTCCTTGAGGATCTATGTCTGTAGGGAGAAAGGAATCCCATTTTCATTTTAGAATATCACTCCCTCAATGCTTTTCTACGACATTCAAGGAAGACACATTTGCATTGATTCCTGGATTAAAGAGAATAGTGTTATTATTACCCCTGTACCTTTATTTTTAATTGCCAGAGGGTGTGTGTGCTCACCAGAGGGGTAGTAGAACACCCCCAAAGGGGCATGGCCACCCTGCAATATCTTCTCCTCCATTTCTCCATCCTGTTGGGATTTATTTAGCAACCAAAGTCTGAATCCCGATGACACAATTCTAAGAACTGTCAGAATTGACTCATGCCTAACTTCAGGGTATGGGTTACAATGAAGCTGACTACAAAAAAAAAAGAAAAGAAAAAGAAAAAGAAAAA